TAGAAACATCAACATATTTTTTTAGCTCGACGGAAATTTTATTCTTTTCCTAAAGATTCTCTCAAATAGAAATAGAGAACGAAGTAACTAGAAAAAAAGAGATTGTTCGAATACTCCCTTTTTCTATAGGGATCATCTAAAAAGCAACGTTAATTGTATTCATACCGAAAGGCTGACATAGATGTTATGGATTCTTTTTTTCATGTATCCATCTATCTCTTAAATTATTTCTGTAAAGGAGCTGAATGAAACAAAAGTTTCACGTTCAGTTTTGAATTAGAGACGTTCATTCATAAACGTCGACTATAACCCTTAGCCTTCCAAGCTAACGATGCGGGTTCGATTCCCGCTAACCCGCTTATATTCTAATTTTTTATTTAGTAAATTTCTTCATTTAGTTTTAGTATAGAATTCTTTTTTCTTTCCCTTTTCACGAATTTTTCGTGAAAAGGGAAAGAAAAAAAGAAAAGCGTCCATTGTCTAATGGATAGGACAGAGGTCTTCTAAATCTTTGGTATAGGTTCGAATCCTATTGGACGCAAATTGATTACATATTGAATTGATTGCAATTGCATATATATTATTGAATTCGTATATTTATAAAAATATATTGTGAATTTATTATCTTTATGATTCTTTTTTTTAAGAGACTAATGATAGAATTTTTTAACGGTATGAAAATTTTAATCAATTTTTTTCTACTTGTTCCTGAAGTAAAAAGAGTTCCATCTGTTCCTGAATAGCTTCCTTCAAAATGGCTTCTGCTTCCCCAGTGAATGTCTTGGTAGAAGATATGATTTCGTTGAATTTAGGTTTATTCGTTTTAAATAAGCCCGGAACTCAAGGAGAAAATTTCCTTACCTGTTCAATTTCTAATGAATCAAGATAAACGTTCGTTCCAGTATATATAGTTATTATCTGTTCTTCCACAGTAAGAGGAGCTGATTGGGATTGTTTTAAGCAACTCGCGCAATCGTTGACCTCTTGCCAATTGATTTTGCGTGGCTTTTATCGAGATCTGAAGAGAATTGTGCAAAAGCTTCTAATTCTGCGAATTGTGCCAATTCCAATTTTAATTTACCAGCTACTTGTTTCATGGCTTTTATTTGAGCCGCCGATCCAACTCTGGAAACGGAAATACCCACATTAAATTGCGGGTCTGATCCCAGCATTGAATAAATCGGCAGATAAGAATATTTGGCCGTCTGTAATAGAAATTACATTAGTAGGAATATAAGCTGAAACATCTCCTGATTGGGTCTCAACTATTGGTAAAGCAGTCATACTTCCTTCACCTAACTGAGAACTTAATTTAGCGGCTCTTTCCAAAAGACGCGAATGTAAATAAAAAACATCTCCGGGATAAGCTTCGCGACCTGGTGGTCTTCGTAATAGAAGAGACATTTGGCGATAAGCCTGTGCTTGTTTGGAGGGATCATTCATAAATGATTAAAGTGTGGCGTTCCACGGTACATAAAATATTCAGCCAGAGCTGCTCCTGTATAAGGCGCGAGGTATTGTAATGTAGCTGGGGAATTTGCTGTTTCAGCCACTATAATAGTGTATTCCATTGCTCCTCTTTCTTGTAAAGAAGTTACGACTTAGCCACAGAAGATGCTTTTTGACCAATAGCTACATAAACACATACTACATTTTGTCCCTGTTGATTGAGAATCGTATCTGTAGCTACTGCTGTTTTTACCAGTTTGTCTGTCCCCCAATAATCAATTCTCGCTGGCCACGCCCTATAGGGATCATAGAATCAATAGCAATAAGTCCCCGTTTGAAGGGGCTCATACACGGACCGTCTGGAAATAATACCGGGAGCGGGAGATTCGATAACCGAGATTCCGAAGCTGAAATTTCTCCTCGACCGTCAATAGGTTTAGCTAGGGCAATTTACCAACACGACCCAAATAACCCTCACTTACCGGTATCTGAGCAATTCTTCCTGTTGCTTTTACGGAACTTCCCTCTTGTATCATCAAACCCATCACCCATTAATACAACACCAACATTTTTTGATTCCAAAATTCAAAGCAATGCCTACTGTACTTTCTTCAAATTCTACTAATTCACCCGCCATTACCTCATCAAGACCATAAATACGAGCAATGCCATCGCCTACTTGAAGTACGGTACCTGTATTTACAATTTTTACTTCGGTATTATATTGCTCAATACGTTCACGGATAATTTTACTAATTTCATCTGCACGAATGGTTACCATGAATATTTCTGAATTTGATTCTTTTTCGAAGAAAAACAAAAAGAAGGCCTGCCTGCCTATACTCTCAATTATAGTAGAACAACTAATCAGTTATTTTTTTCTTTCATCGCCCCAAACATACCAATATTAGCACTGATCGTACGTAAATGTAACTCGTTGTTTCGTTGTTTAAGCAACTATTCAAAGTTCCCAGAGCTCCTTGTAATGCTTGTTGTAAAACCCTTTGTTGCACTTGATTAATTGCCCTTTGTTGTTCAAAATGAATGGTTTCATTTTTGTAATTTTCGAATTGTTCCAAAGTTGTATAAATTGAATTAATTAAATTCAATTTTTCTCGTTCTATCTCGGAATAACCATTCACTCGAAACCGATCTGCTTCCATTTCTACTTTCCTTAAACGGGACCGGGCTTTTTCCAGCTGTTCAATGGCTGTTTCCCGTAGTTCTTCTGAATTTCGAATAGTTCTCAAGATTCTCTGTTTTCGATTATCTAATAAATCACTTAATGAAAGTAGATTCTCTTTCCATTCATTTCAAAATGTCTATGATCTCTTCCCGAACCAAACATGAATCTTTCAATTCATTTGGCTCTCACACTCAATTCCTTATAGGAAATTTCCCCATATTTATTATGGAATGAGCCTATCCTCTTTTCTCTATTTCGAAAAATCTTGAAAATGATTATCAATACAAGACCCCAATATTTGGAGGACTCTTCTGACCAAACAAATAATTGTCAGCAAAGTTGTTTTTTTTTTTCTTGAAATCCAAAGAATTCTCATTAATTTATACGTAGGTCATCAATTCTGCATTGTAGAAAAGTAGAAACGGAGGCGTTAAACACAACACCTTTTTCCTATTTTTCATCCATCATAAAGAGAATTCAAGTCAGTTTTTCGACATGAGTGTTCTATATCGAAAAAATTCGAATTTCACTATTAACATAGTGGTAGAAAGAATACTAGACTGCGTCGAAACTTCAAACTGGTTAGCTTTAACCATGGTAATGTTCCAAAATTCTTGGTTGATAGAGAATCAAAGTAGATTTCCCAATGAATCGCGAAATGCTATGGTTCTTAACTATTTTTTTTTCGTTATTTTGTAAGAAGTCATTCGCCGGATCATGCACATTTTCCTAGTTATAACAAAAAAAGTGCAGTTGGTTGTATCCAATCTATTCTTTGAAATAAACAACTCGCACACACTCCCTTTCCAAAAAAAATCAATACACCTAGCACTGCACTTAGATTTATTAGATTTGTTGCTAAAATATCGGTATCAAACCCGAAACTTCCGGCGGATGGCCAGTAAATGAAGCAAAGAAAAGAATCGGTTATATTTTTCATATGATCGCATCTCCTCTTATGGATAGACAAAATTTCTTTTTACGATTCCAAGTTTTTTTTATTTGTTTATGATAGTTTATTCTATAATCTAATTTTTTAATTATTTAATATGAATATATCAAATTAGTATATTTTTATTCTTACTAAAATGAGTATATTAGTAAGAATAAAAATATACTAAAATTGGTTAGTCAATTGAAAGAGTCCCTATAAGAATGATACTTCTTAGAAGGAAATACTAGTTCTTATGTCAATTGCAAAATACTTAGTTGGTTTCAACACTTTCTAAATCAAAATTAAGGGGTCAGTGGACTAAAAAAAGGGACGGAAGAAGGCGAATCAGTATGTTAATCCGAATGAAGAAAAAATTGTAGGAGTAAAATCTAAATAGAATGAAAAAAAAAGCAAGAGCAGCAACGAAAGTCCATGGAAAAAACAAGATGTATTTTTTTTATTAAACAAAAGGATTGGCAAATAAAAGAGCTAATGCTACAACCAGCCCATAAATAGTTAAAGCTTCCATAAAAGCCAGACTAAGTAATAAAGTACCCCGTATTTTGTCCTCTGCTTCCGGTTGTCTCGCAATCCCTTCTACAGCTTGCCCTGCAGCTGTGCCTTGACCAACTCCAGGTCCAATAGAAGCAAGCCCGACGGCCAACCCAGCAGCGATAACAGAAGCAGCAGCAATCAGTGGATTCATGATAAGTTTCTCCTATTCCAAAGAAAATAAAAAAATAGTTAATAATATAATCAACAAAAAATTTATGACTTAATTATTTCATTCTTCATATTTCTCTTTATCTAGTCGAAGTGTAATTCAAAATTTCAAACTTAATAATTTTTATTGAATTATCCCAATTACTTCGATATTCACTTTTTTCGTTTCTACCCTTGTAGTTTTTTGTGAATACATACAATTTTTGGTCTTATCTTACATTTTAAACTTTTTTTTTCTTTGATTTCATTTTTTTAGTCATTTTTTTATATTCAATTCAGAATTACAAGAGATGGAATCTTTTTTTTGAATCCCTACCTAAATTTAGAGTAGTAGCAGAACAAATTTAGATAGATCGTCATATATAACTAATGAATATCTACTATGACATATACATGTGTTTGTTCCATACCGTAAACCAATGAGTTGTATCTTAGATTCAATCAATCATTCTTGGAAATCCCCCAGCTGTCTTATAACGATTAGATTATATATACACCTAGTTTGACCCCCTCAACCTTTGTTAATTTATTTAATCTCTATTTTTTTTTTTACAATTCCCTGGTAATTGTTTTAATTTTCTTTCTACTTTTTGATTGTTATTAAACCTTTTTAAAATTTCTTTGTATTTTTTTATTAATATTCCTTAAGTATATTATCGCGAGCCACACATACTTTGTTGCGGGCTAAAACACGATTTTGATAACTAGTCAATGATGCCCTTCCATGGATTCACCTATATACGCCGCAGCTAAAGTAGCGAAAATAAGAGCTTGAATACCACTTGTAAATAATCCAAGGAACATAACAGGTATAGGAACTACTAAAGGTACTAACGAAACAAGAACAACAACTACTAATTCATCCGCTAATATATTTCCAAAAAGTCGAAAACTAAGCGATAAGGGTTTTGTGAAATCTTCTAAGATGTTAATCGGTAAAAGGATTGGCGTTGGTTGGATGTATTTACCAAAATAGGCCAATCCCTTTTTTGAAATACCCGCATAGAAATAGGCTACTGACGTAAGTAAAGCTAATGCAACAGTAGTATTTATATCATTTGTGGGTGCAGCTAACTCTCCATGAGGTAACTTTATAATTTTCCAAGGCAAAAGGGCCCCTGACCAATTCGAAACAAAAATAAATAGAAACAGAGTTCCAATAAACGGAACCCATGGACCATATTCTTCTCCAATCTGAGTTTTGCTCACGTCTCGAATGAATTCAAGGACATATTCAAAAAAATTCTGACCAGACGTGGGAATAGTTTGCGGATTTCTAACAACTAGAATGGTTGAAATTAATAAGATAGCAATTACAACCCAAGAGGTAATAAGTACTTGAGCATGCACTTGAAAATCCCCTATTTGCCAATAGAAATGTTGACCTACTTCCACAGCAGATATATCATAGAATCTGTTTAATGTGTTGATGTAACATAATAGAACATTCATATTGCCCTGTCCTCTAAAATAAAAAAATATACCTTGAAAGGGAATTATTTTGATTCAACCATTTCCTTATTTTACTTTGATTTTCTATTTTGAATACCTAACTAATCACAAAATATTTCTTTTTACACAATTTTGTAATGCTATAATAACCAATTCCAAAAATCTATGACCGCACGCCCAACCAAATCGAAAAATTGATTTATCTTATTATTAATCAATTTTTTTGTATATAGCTAGAACGACCCTCACAAATTGCAAAAACTAATTTGTTAAGAATTAATCCGATGGAAGCTATAGCATCATCATTAGCCGGAATCGAAATATCTGCAAGATCTGGGTCAGAATTTGTATCAATTAAAGAAATCGTTGGAATTCCCAAAGTGATACATTCTTGAAGAGCCGTATATTCTTCTTGCTGATCAAGGATTATTACAATATCAGGTAATCTTGTCATATATTTTATACCGCCTAGATATCTTTCCAAATGAGATAATTGTCTCTTCAACATAGTGGCATCTCTTTTTGGAAGAGAGTTCAGTTTCCCCGTCTTTTGCTCCGTTCTCAAGTCCCTGAACTCACGAAGTCTCGTTTCTGTAGTATACCAATTCGTTAACATACCTCTGAGCCATTTTTTATTAACATAATGACATCGAGCTCTTATTGCAGCCCGTGTTACTGAATCGGCTGCTTTTTTTTTTGTACCAACAATTAAAAATTGTTTTCCTGTGCTTGCTGCATCAAAAGCCAAATCACAAGCTTCTGATAAAAAACGAGCAGTTTTAGTAAGATTTGTAATATGAATACCTTTACGTTTTCCCGATATAAAAGGTGCCATTCGAGGATTCCAGTTCCTAGGCTCATGGCCAAAATGAACCCCAGCTTCCATCATCTCTTCAAAAGTGATGTTCCAATATCTTTTTGTCATTTATCCCCACACTTTTTTAAAAAAAAAAAAATTGAAAAAAAATAAAGAGAGACCCAGTATCCTGAAATAGCAATAAATAATTGTTCCGATGGAACCTTCTCTTTTATAGACGATTGGCCGTTAAGATAGAATCAGGCCATTCTTTTATTTCTATTTATTATTATTTTTTATTCTACTTTATTACCAAATCAAATGACTGCATTTAAAGATTTTAAGGGGCTGAGTCGAATCCGCTTTTAGGAACCATTTAATCCTATATTTCTAATAATGTATCACATAAATTCTTTGAAATGATAAAAATCAAAGAATTTTCTGTGATGGAACAAAAGATTTCTAATTTCTACTTCGAATAATTTTTTTTTCCGGGTAATCTTGTTATGTTGCCTTGACCGTGAACGGTGCATTATTCTTTTGAATCCGGTACCAACGGGTATCATCCCCCCTAAAACAACATTCTCTTTAAGACCTTTCAACCAATCAATACGACCCCGAAGAGCGGCTTTTGCTAAAACTCTAGCAGTTTCTTGAAAACTCGCTTCAGATATGAAACTTTGAGTATTCAGAGATGTTTTTGTTATTCCCAATAATAAAGCTCGGTAACAAATGGGTTCTTCCAAGGCACGCCCCATTCGTTCTGCTCGCAATAATCCAATTAGTTCGCCAGGTAAAAATACATTAGACATTCCATCTTCTGAAACCAAGACTTTGGATGTTATTTGACGCACAATAATCTCGATATGTCTATTATGGATATGTACTCCCTGGGATCGATAAACCTTTTGGATTTTATTAACCAAAGAAATACGACTTTGCGCTATAGTTAGCTCAGCACCAATCAAGAATCCCCAAGGCATGCCGAGAATTTTTGTTATACACTCGTTCCAAGCATCAATTCTTTTTTCTAGATTCATGGATATTGAATCAATCGAACGTATTTCTAATATCTGTTCCACTTTTGGAAGACCTTGTGTTATATCACCGGATCTCGATTTTTCATATATGAATGTAACTAAAATATCTCCTTGAGAAAGGATCTCCCCATAATGGCCGTGAATGGTTGCTTCTGGAGTCGCCAAATAAGGATTAGCCAATCTTATTATTACAGAATCCATTTGAACTGTTATAACTTGACCCGATTTTAGTTTTAGGTGTGGTCCATTTTTCATTTTAGCTATACATATATTTTCACAAATCAATTGTCCAAGACTTATTATTGTAAACGTTTTTTCACAATAAAAATGATGGAGAAAAAACCAATTCAAATGGAATGGATTCAAAACAATATTACTGTATAGATCGGGTTTAAAAATTTTCTCATTTTCGTCCATTAAATAATATTTAATTACTTGAAAAATTTCAGTGAATTTGTCAAGTTGCAAATTTTTAATGATTGAGATCTTATTATGAGTTATTAAATGATAAAGTGAATAAAAATTCGCAACTTGAAGGGCTATTCCTAAAGGGCCGAACGAATTATTATTATTAATTGAAATTATAGGATCTTTTTTTATTCCATTGTGATATTTTACATTGTTGAATGGTCTCATTTGAAAACAATTAGATGATGACAAAATTATCCAAGATCGGCATTCTTTCTTTTTATTCAACAACATACGAATAGTTCCGTGATTTTGGCTAAGTGATTGTTGAATTTTTCCCTTGGAATGAATAGAAAAAAAGGGATTGATTCGATCCGATTGATTATCCCTGATCAATCCTAAACCAGACGGGTCATTTCTTTTTCTAATATATGAAGTATTAGATTTGACTAAGTCAATTCTTAGAAAATACTCAATCAAACCATTTGTACTTACTTCAATAAAGGAAGCGGGGGCCTCCTCAATAGAAGAACTTTTTTTCCCGTGATCCCAATTGAAGACTAAACAAGTCCGAACTAATTGAATCCTTGTGTCGGAAATTCCCCGAATGGATTTTCCATTTCCATAAAGAATATAATTGACAACTTTTAGTTCCAGATTATCCTTTTCCTGGAATAGATCTTGGGGAAAAAGTTTTACAAAATTGATACTGTCCGGTATTTCATATAAAATTACAGGTCGAACCAAAACAAAATACTTTTTCTTGGTAGTTGCGATCCATTGGACATAAATCCAATTTTTAAATTTTTTTGATTCCTTGCATTTTTTTTTTTTTACCGTTCCGGGCGGTCTCAAGATGGCACTGTGTCGGGATATCTTATCCATCTCTCCGGGAAAATGGATATTTCCAGAAAATATTTTTAATTCTATTTTTTTTTTTTTCTTTTCTAATCGGACCAATCCGCCTACTCGACTTCTTATATTGAAAGTGATTGGTGTTCCTATTCCAACAAGACTATTATTCCGTACCATTAGGGAAGAAGATTCGGGTAAAATATGCACTTCTTCGGGAATAAAAAAAATTTTATCTACTTGAATTTGGTATTTTGGCTTTACTTCTTCGATTCCTTGATACTCACTGAAATCTTCTTTTTGAAAAATAGAATGAATTCCTATAGTTGTATATTTAGTAATTCCTGAACTCTGTCTTATGTATTGAGGATCATTGAAATAAGCAAAAATACTATTTTCATGAAAAATACCATTGATAGGTATTTCAATGGAGACACCGGAAGGGGACATTAGTTCGTTCTTTCGTTCTTGAATCGATTGGAATGGAAATGGAATAAGAAATCTATTTCTTCGCCTTTTCGCCAAGAAATAAAAAGTATCGTTCAAAATAGCAGGATACATTAAATCAGAATGATCTGTACATATGATTTGATTCAATATTGAAGAATCGCTAATCCACTTTTCTTTTGTACCAAAAGTATTGAATTTATGTTTTACTTGATCATTCCTTTCTAAAAGATTCGAAATATTTGTTTTTCCATTAGAAAGTGAATCCATGGTAACTTGATCTTGATCCTTGCGAAGTAAAAAATGGATTGTATTAGACCTGCACGACTTTCCTGACAATATCCATAAATGACTTGTTTTTGGTAAGATATGTACATTACTATATATAAATTGTGATGTATGGTACACATCGGTACTCCAATGCATTTCCCCTTCTGAGTCAGAATAAATATGTTTTTGAACCCTCTCTTTCAAATTTAAAGTAGATGTTCCCGCGCGGATCTCCGCAATCACTTGTTCTGATTTTACATATTGATTATTTTGAACTAATAGAAAACTTTTTGGTGGAATAATGACGTTATGTATAATATCGTCACTTTCAATAGTTACATAGAAGTCTATATTACATATAAAAGCAGGATATCCATGACGTGTCCGTGTAGGGTGAACTAAATCCTCATTAAATTTTATTTTTCCATTCGAGGGGGCTCGCACATATTCAGCAGTACCCCCTGTGAATACTCCACCAGTATGAAAAGTTCTTAATGTTAGTTGAGTTCCCGGTTCTCCAATAGATTGACCAGCAATAATCCCTACAGCTTCTCCCAATTCTACCAGGTCCCCATGAATAGGACTCCGCCCATAACACAATCGGCAGATCCAAGACGTATTCCTACAGGTAAAGGGGGTTCGAATAAATATTGGTTGTGTTTGAAAAGTTATGAATCGATTGATAAGTCCAATTCCAATATCTTGATTTCTAACGACAATGCACCGTGAACCTATATATATATCGTCTGCTACTACACGACCAATTAATGTTTGTATCAAAATTCTTTCTGGCATCATTCCATTTCGGGTGTTTACATAAATCCCACGGATGGTACCGCAATCTGTTCGCCGTACAACAATGTGTTGAACCACTTCAACAAGTCGACGTGTAAGATATCCAGCATCTGATGTTCGTACAGCAGTATCTACAACCCCTTTACGGGCTCCGTAGCAAGAAATTATATATTCTGTTAAAGACAGTCCTTCACGTAAATTGCTTTGAATGGGTAAATCAATCATTTGTCCTTGTGGATCTGACATTAATCCTCTCATTCCGACTAATTGGTGCACTTGAGATGCATTTCCTCTAGCTCCTGAAAAAGACATGATATGGACTGGATTAAAGGGGTCAGTCATCCTAAAATTGGAATTCATTTGTTGTCGCAAATATTCGCTTGTAGCATACCATATTTCAATGGATTGGCGTAATTTTTCTACCGCATGGACATTTCCATAATGATTATGTTTTTCCAAAATGGAACTTTGTTGTTCAGCATCTTGGACTAGCCATCCTTTTGAAGGTATTGTTAAAAGATCATCAATTCCTAATGAAATAGATGTAGCAGTAGCTTGATGGAATCCTAGAGTCTTTACTTGATCTAGGATGTGTGATGTATATGCCATTCCGAAATGATCTATTAATCTGCTAATAAGTCGTTTAATGGCAGTTCCACCTATCACGTTATTGTGAAAGACTAGATCGGCCCGTTCTGCCATAAGTACCTCCATATTCCACTCAGTGTTATTCGGTTCGACAATGGATTTGAGTTAATGATTGGAAAACTTCCTTTTCTTTATGTTTATTCACGTAGAAAATTGAAAAGATGCTAGTTGACCTGAATTTACACCAGTATCATAAATTGACTTAGCGTGGATACCAACACTAACCATTTATATGATTAGATACCATATGAATCGGCTCGAGAAAAACCTTGTATAGCTTCTTCGATTTCTCGATAAAAAGAAATATGACCAATAGTGGTTCGAATGTATATACAACGAATTTCTTTTTTTATACTTCTTATTACTAAATAATCCCCATAAATCTCATAATAGGTACCAAAAGATTCATAGTGAACTTCGATAGGAACTTCTCTTGAAGACATAATGCATTGATCTATTCGCCACCGGAGCCAAAAAGGACTATCGAAATTTATTCTTTTCTGTCTATAAGCTCCAATTGCATCATAGGAATTGCAAAAAAAGGGTTCTTTTTTTTTCATATACTTCAAGTTATTATTGCTAATTTTTTCATTGTGAGAATTTCGGGAATTAAACGAATTATACCTGTTTGCA